AACCTAATATTTGGATTTCAGCTTATTAAAATTATGAATAAAAAAAACTGGATCCTGAACCATGAACCGACAGTTCTGGATCTTATTCGCGATTTTGAACCGTCTATATTTTAAAAATGTATTTTTTTAATTTTAAAATAGTCTAAATTCAACAATAAATGTATTTTATTTTTTCAGTTCGGAACGTGAATCGGCCGTTCCGGTTCGCTATTTTAATAAACTCTAAATATCGGGTTTCGATTCTAAATTGTAATTGGAATATTTTGGTTTGGTTGCTACAGTGTCTATTTGGTTTGAACCAAATTATGGATTGGGGAATAAAAATAAATGAAATATTTATTTTATGGGTAAATATGTCCATTTAACATTTAAGGGGGAAAAACAGCCACTTGAATAATTCAGGGGGGAAAAAGCGCCATTTTCCCTAAGATTTTAATAGACTTTATAAAATAGTTTATATGTGAGTAAGTTTATTAATCTGTATTGTAATTTTGCATTTCCCCAGTTTAAGATTATTGTTAGAGATAATCGACTGATGTACTGGACTGACTGATTCAGAGACGTGAATTGTCAATTAGTTAGTTACATTGCAGATTAGTTTAGTGAGGGAAACTAGAGCAGATAATAAAACCGCACATACGATGTTTACCCAGTTCGATACAGTGTGTATCTACATCTAGGGGACGATCACCGAGGCGTCGAATCCACTAACTCATAATCCAATGTACAAAGGTAGAGAAACAACAATCTCACCCAAGTTCCCCACACAAGGTATGTACCCAGTCTACAAAGGTATAGTGGATTGTTGAAGTCGGAGAGCCACGCATACAGAAGTCCAATGAAATCCCTTCAATTGGAGAGCTAACTCTGATGCAGTCCGCTTCAATGACGCAGTCCCACGTTGTTCCCACAACTGAGTGATCTTCGCGTCCTTTCGTTTAAGCAACGTTAATTCTTCTCAAGTTCTTCATCATAATCACCAAGAACTTACTTTCTTGAGAAGAGACATGATAATCAAAGATATGGGTTTCTGTGTAGCATGGAGTGTTTTTGTCTTCTTAAACTCGTAACCCTAATTCTTGACCGAATGAGGATACTTATACTTCCTTGGTAAGAACACTCTCCAAAAATATCTTTGATTGTAGATGGTAGGACAATTTTTGAAGAATGCAATCTTAAAGATTCGGTCCATACCTTCCAAAACAGATCCGCTGATATTCTTTCCAAAACTATCTTCTCAAACCGCGTTCAGCATTTTGGAAACATCTCCCTTTATCAGATCGTCAGTGTCAGTGCGTCTGTTGATGAACCTGATCAATCAGTCTTCTCTAAGAGTAAACAGACACCAAGCTAAACCCTATCTTAGTTTTCCATAATAATATTGCCAATTATATGTTGGGGTTTTTGGACAAAATAAAAACACTAACAAACTCCCCCTTTGGCTATTATTTGGCAAAACAACTCGACTAAGTACCAAACGTTTAGCTAGAGATATAAAAGAGAATAACTTATAACTGTCGCATAAAGGGAATAAGTCTGAAATACAACCCATAAAAGAAATAACAGCACACAAGCCGTGCTGGACAAAAACAAGTAACACTCTTCACACAACACGGGGCCATCACAAAACCACGCCCAGACAGGGCCAGAAGATACTAACAGTCACAATCACAACAAAAACTCCCCCTGAGTTTAGGCACTCCCCCTTTTTGCCAAAGATAGACAAATGCACTATTAAGCATTCGATGGACCTTCACTATCAGACTTCACATTCTCAGCAGTAGCAGACTCAGTTAAGCTTAATCGAAGCAGAACAGTCGCAAGTTTAGTGCGGACTGCATTGAGCTGATTCGTGATAATTCCATTAACAGTCTCTAGCTCAGACACCCGAGCCTTCAGACGTAGGGACAACTGAACATTCTTTGCATGTGGCGAGTCCTCAATAGTAGTGTCAGCGTCAGATGATGGAAAAGCATTAACAGATGTAACATCTCGGATATGCTTGCCAATCAAGAGTCGCGGATCAACAGTATAGAGTAGAGTTGGAGTAATAATCTCACTTGGCATTGGTACTAGGCCCTGCGATGTCAGAACTCCAAAGATGAGATTAGGATAAGGCAGTCTTACCTTCTGTTCCCTCGGATGAATCAGGGTGAGAAAATGATAGAAGATCCACTTCCCCAGATCAATGGACATTTTGGTGCCAATTCGGAACAAGAGAGTAGCCAATTGCTTCCCAACAGTATGAAAATGTGCAGAGGGGAGCCAATTGTGCAGTGCAATACGGTGCAGGATAACATATTTGGAGGTAAGCTTTGAGCTAGACAGAGTGTCAATATCATCTCTAGGCCATACTGGAGTTTGACCACCAGTGAGAGTCCTTGCAACCAAATCCCAATCGGTATTGTCTTCTTCGTCAACAGCCTTCAACCCATAGTAGTCATTGATCATGTCCGGGCCGAACACATACCACTGTCCTCTGATAAAATTTTGCTGGCATCGTGTTCCAGTAAGGTTGTCAATTTCCTCATTCAGATTGCAGTAAAACTCGTAGGTCAATAGCTTCGAGTAGGGACAAATAGATGTAACAGTCTTCAGAAGGCCGACCTCACTCAGCAGGGGTAAAATATCACAGACAGAATTCAACTGATTCTCATCAACCGATCTCTGAACTATAAGCTCTCATCTCACCATAGTAAACCACTTGCCTTGAGCTGTAGCAGAAACAAACTATGGCTTGTAAATGGTGGTGTCAGGACTGTCAGAAGCAGTTTGGACATCAGGAGTGACACTCCTTCCTCTTGACCTTGTTGTAGCTTTCATTTTTCTAGTAGCAGTGGTGGAAACAGTTGCAGGGGCCTTATTCTTGACTGACGATCTCAAAGTTTTAAACACTTGTTGGACAGGTGGGTCACTTTCAGCCTTCACAGACTCAGCTGATCTTCGTCTTTTCTCTGGTTGAACAGTGTTAATATTATCATCACCGGTTTCCACAGCCACTCTTTCTGGGACACCTTTGCGTTTGGATTTCCTTGTTTCTCTGGCAGGAGAATGATGAAGAGGCAAGAAGTTTGGTGACTTTTCTAATTTTGAATGTAGTGGAGTCTGGGTGTGTTGTCTCTTCCACTGTAAGGGATCTAATGGGGTCAGACGATGGGGCTTGTGGACCATACACTTCAGCCAGAATTTTCTCATCGTCACTGTCTATCTGCACAGAAGGATCATCGGGATGAATAACTCTGTATGGTTCAGGTACAGAAGTTGAGGGTAAACCCGCAAAATGTCGAATGTGATCAAGACTTTCAGCCAAGGTAGTGGATGTATAAACTGGAATTCCATCAATCGAATCAGAGGGACGAGGGCTTGTAGATTTTGCAGCTTCAATCTCAGCAGATAACTTAGGTGGATCATCAACCAGAAAAACTTCAATCGGGGACTTAACCGCATCAGATACAAGAACAACAGAAATCGCAGATCGCTCAACATCAACAGAGTAAACAACCATACTCAAATTATCTACCTTATCAGATTGTGTAACTTTTTCTTCAGACTCACTGTTAAGAACAACTTTTGTAGACTCATATTTTTCAGAAGATAAACGGGGTGGATCATCAGACAAAGAGGACTTCGCAGATAATAAAGCATTCTCATTATCAGATTGTGCAATAGGCAGAGCAGACTCAATATCATCAGAAAATAACTGATCAGGCTTATCAGGGGAAATCTCAATAGGAGTTTCAGAAGTATTAGACCTGTTTCGTAGAATCTCAAGAAGATGTTTGGCTTCGTCCTGTGCAGCTTGAAGGTAGAGAGGTCGAGCTTCAACCCGTCGACGTGAGACTTCTTCCAATTCCAGAGCTCTTTGGGCAAAATATTGGAGGAAAGCCCAAACACGGTTCCCATCCTCAGGTTCAGCAATAGAGGCAGGACTAACATCATCACTCGCTTATGAGGCCAACACCAGAAGATCGCTTGTATCATCGTCCGGCCAGTCTGCATAGAACTCAGGGTAGTCTGAAATCACCGTGACTATGATCTCGTCGCGGAGAGCAGAGTCCAGTTTCAGCTTCTTCTTCATTGCGAGTTGAAGGAGAGTTTTCACATGCTTCGTTGCGGTTTCTGGTGTATGGATTTTCCTTCCCAACTTGATAATGATATTTCTCACTGCATCCACCATAGTTGTGAGATTTGGGAATGAGAAGAGAGAAACCCTAGGTAGAGAATCAGTAAGAGATTAACTGAGAGCAAAGTGGTGTTTAGGACTCTTCTCCTATCAATATTGACCCGATGAAATATATAATCCCAAGGGTGATGAACACTATTCAATGTGGTTGTCAGAATGGATGTAACTGTGATGTGATTGACGCAACGGTATAACTCCTTTTTAGGGATTAAACGGAAGATTTGAATTTTGAATGGGCAAATTAATTTTGGTAACCAAGGTTATGATATTATCTTAACAAAAACAGAAGAGAGATTAAAAAGGAAGTCAAAGATGTAATTTTGACCAGAGATTGAGACCATCATACACTCTCCTTCCGTATTATCATTCTGACTTACTAATCAACCCTGCAGATTCCCAGAGCAGATCTGAGAATCTCTAACCGATTTGCATCTAGAGGCTTAGTCAGTATGTCAGCCAATTGCTTGTCTGTTTGAATATATTCCAACTCTATCTCCTTTGATTCTACCAAATCTATGATATAGTGATGCCTTATATCAATATGCTTCGTTCTGGAATGTTGAACTGGGTTCTTTGAAATGTTTATTGCACTGACATTGTCACAGTAAAGTGTCATAGTCCTTTGAGTGAGACCATAATCTAGAAGCATTTGCTTTATCCTGACCAGCTGAGTGCAACATCCTCCAGCTGCTATATATTCTGCCTCTGCAGTACTTAGAGAGATTGAATTCTGTTTCTTGCTTAGCCATGATACTAAATTCTTACCAACAAAGAAGCATCCACCTGATGTACTCTTTCTGTCGTCAATATTTCCTGCTCAATCAGCATCACAGTATGCAATCATATTGAGTTCACTGTCCTTGGAATACCATATCCCATATTGAATTGTTCCCTTGATGTATTTCAAGATCCGTTTAGCAGCTATCAAATGTGACTCTTTGGGATCAGATTGATATCTTGCACACATCCCAACACTGAACATTATATCTGGTCGACTGGCGATTAAATAAAGTAGACTTCCAATAAGACTTTGATAGACTGTGTTATCAACTGATGGACCAGTATCATCTTTTGATACCTTTGTGGAGGTGGAAATAGGAGTCCTGGGTGTCTTGCATGATTCCAAATCGAACATCTTGACGAAATTCTTAGCATACTTTTCATGTGAGATAAAGTAGCCTTCAAGACTCTGTTTAACTTGAAGTCCTAGAAAATAAGTTAGTTGATCAACCATGGACATTTCAAATTCTTCCTTCATGACTTTCACTAAGTCATCAATATATTTCTGTAGAGTTGATCCGAAGACAATATTGTTAGGAATAAAGTGTAATGGTCTTGATATGCCAAATATGTATTCATAGATCCCCCAATTTTATTTCATAGGTCTAGTAAAGTCTGAGACCATGATCGGGAAATTATTTAAATTTGAAAAGAGAAAAACAGAGGAAGATGCATTAAAAAGAAGAAGAAGATATAAAGCCTAAAATCAAGAATTTGTCTGGAGAAAATGACAAATTGAAGAAGAAGATGAATGATACAATATTCACGTCAAAGCTATTCGAAGAAATATCCCAGAAGAATTTTCGTGAAAGAAAATTAAGATGGGAAGAATGCATGAAATTGACTTGGAGATCAAGCATCTATGGAAATAAAGGAGTACATCAAAGAAGATTGGAGATTTAATCAATAGTTGTATGGACGAAGAGGATGATGCTTGATATGTTATGCAAAATGACTCAAGTTCAAATCTTACCATCAACAATTTTACAAGGTAAAATTTGAGAAGCCAAATCTAATTAAATATGATGGAGTTGGGCGCTAGTTTGGGAAGCAATTGCACTTGTTGAATTGGGAGCCAATGTAGAATTGAAATCAATTGAAATGTTTCACATTGAATTGGGAGCCAATGTAGAATTGAAATCAATTGAAATGTTTCACATGAAAATTAATTCAAGATGGGAGCACATGAGAATCAATTCAAGATGGGAGCAAGTTTCACATGAGAATCAATTCAAGATGGGAGCCAATGTAGAATTGAAATCAATTGAAATGTTTCACATGAAAATCAATTCAAGATGGGAGTCAATATAGAATTGAAATATGTTTCACATGAAAATCAATTCAAGATGGGAGTCAATATAGAATTGAAATTGGCTCCATTGGGAGCCAATTGAGGTTGTAGTATGGGATGCAATTTCGAAGTCAAAGTCAATAATTCAAAGCACCAGGTTGTAGTATGGGATGCAATTTCGAAGTCAAAGTCAATAATTCAAAGCACCAGGAGAAGTTTGGGAGCCAATTGCAAGTTAGTCAATTGGGAGCCAATTACAATGGAGAAATTCAAATTGTCTCCCAATTACAATGGAGAAATTCAAATTGGGTGCCAATTACAAGTCAATTGAAATTGGGTGTCAATTACAAAGGAAAAATTCAAATTGGGAGGAAGTTCAAAGCCAGTTTGAAGTCTGAGAACACCCAGACGTGAGAATGAAGAAGATGAAGATGAACTTACAGTAAAAATATTCTCACAAGGAAAAATACTAGTTTAACTAGTATGTGATTAAATTGAAGAATATTTTTAAATCCCAAAGATACAAGGACCACTTCAGAGCAAATCAGAGAAGCCGTTCTACACCCAGATATTTCCACTCAACGTAAAACCAGAGGAATATCAGATGAAGTTTGAGAAACCATTCATATGAAGTTCAAGCTCTCAAACGGCTACCTTATCCTTTCTGACATCCCTGCAGAAGATAAGATAAGATCTCTGACAAAAAGATATAAGATTTCAAAAATGTGAGCGTCTCTTTCCAACGGACAGATTCTCATTACCAGCTATAAAATGATGAAGATATGAAGACTTGAAGAAGCGTGAAGAGTATAGAGCAGAGAACACGAACAAAGAGCTAAAAGAGCATAGAGCAAAAATCTCATTTGGTACAGAGCATACCAAAAATCTTCAAGTGAGAAGTGAGAAAAGAAAAAGAACTCAGAGAGCTTCAAAGGAAATATTATGAGAGTTCTTAAACAGAGCAAAGCAGAGCATAAAAATCAAGTGTTTTACTTTATACACTCAAAGAGAGAAAACACTCAGAGCTTTCAAGAGAAATCATTCCAGAGTGTTAATCTTCATCAAAGAGACCTGCGCATCATTGAAGATCAACTACAAAGTCTTAGAAGTTGGAAGCAAGACAACACTTGTTTTGGAGCAAAACAAGAGAAGGGAGGAAAGTATCACGGAGCTGTGAAATCCTGGATTGTCACACGGAGCTGTGAGATCCGAAGCAGCAGTGTCGGAGGCACTGGGCGTGATTAGTGCGGGCTTTGTGATCAAAGAACTAGATCACGGGATACGTTTCTACCGGAGTGTGGAAGACGGGGAGAAAGTAACGCGGAGTCGTGAAATCCTGGGATAGTAGCGCGACAATGTGAAACCCGAAGCAGCAGTGTGGTGTCACTGGGCATGATTAGTGCGGGCTTTGTGATCAAAGCACTAGATCACGGAAATTCATTGTATCTTGGAACCAAGAAGTGGTAGATGTAGTGAATTGCTCTTGGAGATAAGAGCAAGTAGAGTAGGAGGATTACACCACCTCGCGAACCACTATAATTGTCTTGTGTTCTTTACTGCTTTCTCTACTTACTGCTCTTTACATAATTGCTCTACACGAGATATACTGCTCACACAATCTCACACACACTTTTTGTTTGTTTATTTCCGCTGTGCACCATACTCTAACAATCTAGTTAAGAGTTTTGGTTTATCTCTGGCTTAGCAATTGTTGTGCTGTGCGAAAAAGTTTGAAAGTCTATTCCCCCCCCCCCCCCCCCCCCTAGACTTTCACCTTACCTCTTTTGGGACCAACAATTGGCATCAAAGCAGGCTGTCTATTTAGGCCAATTTGCTATCTAAGCACGTGCCTAACTGGGTCAACCGTTTCTGATTGCTAGATAGATCCATTCTACAAAGTGTGTGAATCGGATTAATGTTTCATATCTCCCGTGATGATGATGAAGAAAGATTTAGCTCAAAATCTATTATTCTCTCTTGATAAATTTGATGATTGGAAAGTTCGTATGCAGGTACACTTATCGGTTCTACACGATGAAATGTGGGAAGTTATTTCCACTGGCCCTATAGAAATATTAAAAATCAATACGGCGTTTGTTATATCCCCGGATGCTCCACAGTACGTACAAAAGCCAAAACCGGAATGGACATCGAATGATAGAACGCGGAATAATCTTGACAATATTGCCAAGGATATTCTATTCAAAGCCGTTGATGATACAATATTTCCGAATATCCGAAAGTGTGCTACTGCCAAAGAAATATGGGAAACTCTCATCAAGATTGGCGAAGGAGATGAACAAGAAAAAGACAATAAGCTCACAATCTCCATGAAGAAGTTTAAAGATTTCAAAATGCTCTCAAATGAAAGCGTTGCAGACATGGAAGCTCGAATGATCAAAGTTCTTGGAGAGATTAGTGATCTTGGAAAAAATATTAGCCAAAAAGAAATTAATCTCAAAATCCTACGAGGCTTACCATCTGCATGGGATATGAAGGTTACGGCTATGCGCGATCATTGAGATCTAAGAATGTTGTCAACAGACAAATTATTTAGTGATCTAAAAGCGTATGAGTTCGAAATGAAGGCCAAAGATGATGACGTTCATGAAGCTCGAAATGCTGCTCTAATGGCCGAACAACCGTCAACCTCCAGGTCAGTAGAAAATAATGTTGATTTTGTGACTGACGAACAATTTGCTCTTTTTGTCAAAAAGTTTAGAAGGTTTATGCGAAAAGGAGACAACAAAAATTCTGCTCGTGGAAAATTCGTCTCTCGCACCCCGCAAGAAGAAAAAGTCGAAGAAAACAACAATTTGTGCTACAATTGCCACAAACCCGGACATTTTAAAATAAATTGTCCGTATCCGATCGTTAGCAAGTATCAAGGCAAAAATGTTGAATCCACGCCAAACAAATCCGAAAGCAAAAGGTTCAAGTGCGACAAAAGAAAAGCTCTCGTTAACAACGAATCAAACGAAAATGATGATTCGGAAGATTCATCATCAAGCGATGAAAGTTCATGTTCGGATGATGATACGGCGCTAGTATGCAAGTCAATTGAGTTGAGTACAAGTGAAGATTGTCTTATGGCTCTTGAAGCAGAGGAAGAAGAGGTAACATCTAATTCTTTTACTTATGTTAATTCTTCTTTTTCTCGTGAATCTATTGACAATCTAATGCGAGAATGTCAAGAGAGTATGCTCACTCATCCTCAACTCAATGAGCACAATAATATTCTAATTCATGAAAAAGAAGAAATGAATAAAAAATTGCAAGGTGCTTTACTTGAAGTGAGTAAATTGAAGAATGAAAATATTCATCTTCAAGAAGAGTGTAAAGCAAGAGAGGTTAAAGACCATAATCTTAGATCTACTGTTGCTACGTTCACTAATTCGTCTAAAATAATAGATAAAATGGTGAGCATGCAAAATCCATCAGGAGATAGAACCGGAATCGGTTATGATTCCACATGTTCTCAAACCCCTCAAAATCTGACTAATTCTACTACTACTTTAAATAATAAAGTTCAAGTGGTAAAATTTGTTAAAAGTCAGAATAGCACGATGAGACAAGGACTTGGCTATCAAACAAAAGCAAAGTTGAATGTTGAAAGGCCGAAACAATTCAATTACACGGCGAAGCAACAAAAATTCTTCAAGCAAAGATATGCCAAAGAGTCAAGTGCAAAAAGATTTCATAGAAAAGAGGGAAGCTTTTCAAGAAATAAAGTTGGGAGATTTTATCCCACTCAAAAGGATTGGTTGTGTAATAGATGTAATGCTTCTTATAGACCAAAGCAACCATTCTCTTCCCAGGTGCCAAAATATAAAAATAATTTTCAAAACCCGGCGCCAAAAATATTTTCTAATTAATGTGAGTTATGATTATCGTATCTCTAATGGTAATAAATCTCCTCATCTTAATTTAATAAGATCTAGGTGGGTTTGGTTACCTAAAATCACTAAAAGTAAAGGACCCAAGCAAGTACGGGTACCTAAAGTGAATTAATCTTTTTTGCAAGATGTTTGGTACATCGATAGTGGTTGCTCACGCCACATGACTAGAAATAAATCATATCTAGTGAATTTCAAAGAAATCGATGGACCAAAAGTTATATTCGGAGGAAATCAAAATTATGGAATCACAAAAGGAGTTGGCACAATCAAGAAAAATGGATTGAATAT